ATTTTTTCTTGATTAATTATTCTCTATGTGTGAGTTAGTAAGTTTGCTTTGAGTGTCCCCAGTTTGATAAAAAGAAATATTACTACATTTTAATAAAAAATGATCGAGTGAATAAAGTATGATTTTTGTATATAAAAATTACAAATTTAATTTTTACCTACCATTTTTTGATAGAGATCGCCCATTCGCGACGTACAATTTTCTCGGGCAAATTATTGGTACCATTATTAAACACGTTTTGCTTTTGGTGTGCCTATTCCTTGTCGGAAGTTTGTCTTCTTTGAAAATGTAAATAAATAAGGCAAATTTTATTGTGGCAGTAGTTGGAAGACAACATCAGCCAGAGTAGATATTTAAAAGAAAAAAATTATTGGTGAAAAAAAATCTAGATTTATATACACCGATAGTTATATTTAGATTTTAAAATTTTGTAATTTAATACTTAAAATTTGTGTATTCTAAAAATTATATCCAATTATATATAATTTAAGTATTGCTACTAAAACACAAAGAACCAATAACGGCTCCACTGAAACTAGAACTTACAACATTCCAAATGGAAGTCCAACTTGGGTACCATTAAACCACATAATCTTGGTAATTTAAGTATTATCTTGATTGTTATAATGTTTAAACATGATTTTAAAAATATCTATACAATATATTTTAGGTGATTAATTTATAATTTTTAGTTGTATAAAGTAAATATTTTGATATATTATGTTAAAAAAAATGATTTTATGGTTTGATTTTTTAAATAAGTTGTGCACCAAATTCAATAAAATCAAGTTATGTTGAATTTTTATTAAGTTAGATATTATAATTGAATATACTAATAATCACAAAATATAAAAACTTGCTATTAAATTCCAAAATCTTAAATATTTAGACGTAATTATTATGCATAATTGAATATAATCATTACAAGGCACAAAAATTTGATATTAAATTGTCAAGTTTTAAAATTTAAAAATAATTCTCACAAACACAAACAATTGATGCGAGATAAACAACGAAAGAGAGAAGTTAATAGATTGCTTGTTGGCCTAAACACATAAGATTAGTTGTGCTGAAATGCTGGATGTATTTAGCGTGAAGTCAGCTTGTTGTGGAGTAAACAAACAAAAGGGTTTGGCCATGTTTGGTAAAAAAAATTAGCTTATAAATCAATTTTGGCTTATTTGACTACTATTAATTGTTTGATTTAGTTAAAATTAAAATATCAATATAAATGTTTGGTTAATTAGCTTTTTACAATTCTAAAATGCTAAAATGCTAAAATTCAAAAAGTTACTCCAAGCAATTTTTTCACTTAGCTTTTTGAGAAAATAAATTATACCAAACCGCTATCAACTAACAGCTAATTTACCGAACACTTTTCTACAATCAGCTAATGTTATCAACTATTTATACCCTCTAATTAACACAATCAGCTAACAGTTAACAGCTATCAGCTAACAGCCATTTTACCAAACAGGGCCAACAACTTCTTCAAAAAATTATGATGGGAAGTGAGCAATTATTATTGTGTGTATCATGGTCCACATAACTATTTGATCCACATGCACTTTCTAGAAAAAAAAAATTGAAAGAAATACCTATTGATCGTGAAACATGCACTCGCACCAATTGCAGTTTAATAGCTCTGCAAATCTTCAATGGAGAAATATACTGGGCAAGGATAAATATTAGAGCCTGTATGTTAGTATACATATATATATAATTAATCAATGGCCCTGTTTGGTAAAAAATTGGCCTATAGACCAATTTTAGCTTATTTGACCACTATTAATTGTTTGATTTAGTTAAAATATCAATATAAATGTTTGGTTAATTAACTTTTTGCAACTCCAAAAGGCTAAAATTCAAAAAGCTATTCCAAGCAACTTTTTCAATTAGCTTTTTGAGAAAAGAAATTATACCAAACAGCTATCAGCTAACAGCTAATTTACCAAACACTTTTCTACAATCAGCCAATGTTATCAACTATTTATACCCTCTAATTAACACAATCAGCTAACGGTTAACAACTATCAGCTAACAACCATTTTACCAAACAGGGCCAATATAAATTAATTAATAAATGAATATAAGGAAAAAATATTATCAATTAATAGATTTACCAGCAAGGATAAACATTAGAGCCATAACAGTTGTATGTTAGTATATATATCTATATCTTTATATATAATTATACTCAATATAAATAAATTAATAAATGAATATAAGGAAAAAATATTACCAATTAATAGATTTATCAATTAAGTTAATACGTGAATATGGAAACAATATTATCAATCAATATATTTTAATTAATTTCTATTTTACATTTGATTACCAAATAAGTTTTACTACAAAAGTTTAAGTGGGAAAATGAAATAGGAGGAATTTACTTTTATATATATATATAGAATATAGAATATAGATTGGCTTGTAGAGTTTTTATTTGCCCAATTTTCTAATTATGTATACTTCACATACCATCTCTTTATAAATATTCCTTACCCACATTAGATTTACTTTTTATATTCATTGTATATATTTAGGATTCCATTACTTCCCCTTTGGTATTATCTTATTTCTCTAATTGTGTGTTTTCCGAATTTGTGTTACCTTTTCGTGAACTATGCATATATTACCTCTTTTTACTTGTTAGTTTTGCTTCTTGCACGTCTCAACATAGAACTCACCTCTTGCGTAATTACCCTAGCTAGCTTTTTGTTTGTTTTCATTACCTTAATTTATTGAAACTTGTCCATTGGCTTTTATTAAGCTAATTAATGCATGATTATCTCTTCCCTTTTACTTCTCTCCTCTCAAAAGGTTGAATCTCCAACCTGAGGATCCATAGATCCCGACCCGACAGAGCATTTGGGATATGCTTGTCTCCAATAAGCATTTGGATTGTTATAGAATTAGAAAAAAAGAAAAAATCTGAACTTTTAGACAATATTTAATTAAGGAGAAGAGAAATTGAGAAATTGACGATCGAGGGTGCAAATTGATTCGACTAATCAATTTTCTTTCGGGTTTGTTGTATCTTTGTTACAAGGGGAAGAGCTTGAACATGGAAGAAAAAAATTTGAGGGAAGGATGATGAAAGTAAATTAGTTTGGGTTGAAGAAAATGGATATTCAAGATTTAGGGACATGCATGCAATTTTGGATGCCCACTTTAATTGATGAGATAAACCCATTCCAATTTCTTGGAAGGAACAACAACATTTTTCCTTTTGATGGAAAACACTTCAATACTATGGTTAACACGTCCTATTGAGCGCTTCTATACACCTCACGCTAATGGCAATTTATATCCTACACCACGGCGCGCGTTATATTGTGCGTCTATATGCAAAATGATGTCGTTTCAGATTTTTTTTTTTTTAAATTTCGCTACCCAGTGTTTGCCGGTTAATTTTCCTTTAAAAAAATCTCATGTTAAAAAATGTACATAATATTATACATGAATGTACATAATTGTATACATGAATGTACATAATTATATAACAATATATACATACTGTTTTTTTTAAAAGATAATACACATAATCTAACATAATACATAGTAAACATAAACTTTTAACATAATATACATAAACTCTTAACATAATACACAAAAATTTTCTGATTCGGATGTACATAATTGTATAAAAAAATGTACATAATTATATACAAAATGTACATAATAAAAAATATACATAATTGTATGAACAAATATACATAATCATAGCAACTTCCTACCGCGCCTCCCAAAACGACGTCGTTTTGAGAGGCGCGCGGTGTACAATGCTACGCGTGCCGTAGTGTAGGGTATAACAATTGCACTCTAATGAGCACTAGTTTTTCTTTGTTTTGGTGAGGCCCATTTTTAGAGACAAAATCCTTCTGGTCTTCTAACAAAAGCCAAAAACATTCTCTCTCCTTCTGGTCTCTCCTCTCATTTTAGTAAAGACCTCATCAAAAACTCTATTGTGGATGCTCTGTCCCACAATAAACATTCAACCCCAAAATCCAACTATTTAGGGTGAATTATGAAAAAGACTTATGATCCGTTTGAAACCCCAATAAATGATCAGAAGTCATTTTTCAAAGTGTTTGAGTACTCAATAACAATGAAGTCAATGGAAAAATGATAAAAATGACGGAAAATATCTTCTTAGTTTGTTAGTTGGAAAACATTTTCCGGATTTTTTATTTTTCATTTCTCTCTTTACTCTCTTCTTTTTAAGTTAGTTTCTGAACTTTTATTATTACCACAACCACCACTACCACATCACCACGACACCACCAACACCAACACCACTACTATTACTACCACCAACACCATCATCACCATCACCACCACTACTACCACCAAGGGCACCAACACCAACACCATCACAACCACACCACCACCATAATTTGCCGAGTTTTAAAGAAATCGCTTAATTGGAAAGTAATCCAACCAAAATCCATGGTGGGAGTCTAATGGCTAAAAATAGGCATATTATATTTATTTTCCTTTTCATTTGGGAAACCAAAGATAAGGGGATGTGCCTCAACCGGAAGCACCTATTTGGTCATCGATTATGACACCTTCGATATTTGGGGGAGGTTATTGACTTTCGCCCATTTCGCATGTTGGTGAACACTTAAAGTTATAAAAATAATAATTGTTCTATTATTTTTATGATAAATACCTCAAATAAAAAAGTGACGCAATTGTTTATCCAATATTTATTGCTAACTTGTTATAAGATGCCAATAAATTTAATGACACTATTTTATCAAGTTACATAGATTTATTTAAAATCTTTTTTAGTCTGATCACTTAATTAATAAAAGACTTGAAAGCTGAATTGCATCTCAAATTAAAATAAAAATTAACAGGAAATCCGTTTAGCTTGTGGTAATAATTTGAAGACCCGACGTGGTTCGGGTTCGGGCCGTGGTTACAGATTAGTCCACGTCACCTGAAGACGTGTCGATTGTCTACGTTGGCTCCAAGACAAGCCAGATTTTCCCTTATCTCTAATCTCTATTCCCCGCCATGATTCGAAGAATGCAATGAAATTGCTAACGGCTGCGACGCCATTACAATGCATGAGAGCTGAGTAGATATCTATTAGACGCCATGAACGCCCTAATGTCTGCTGCATCTCCTTTTACCTCTATTTCCATCTTGAAGTTTCCTTCATCCCCTCTGGTTCTCAGAAATGGCGTCTTTAGGGCCCAATTTTGGGGGAAAAGCTCGAGATTTCGAGCAAGCTCGAACGGATTGGATAAGAAGGTGGAGGAGGAAGGTTTAGGAGACTCTGCAGAAACCAAAGTTGAAGATGAACAAGAAAGTAAAGGGGCAAACAGCATTTCTAATGGAGCAGCATCCACTACTATCAACCCGGCACTCGATAAAGAACTGAAAAAGGTGATCCTCTTTTATTCTAAACGGTTTATTGGAAGAACTAGTAGAGCAGTAAGTCCAGTAGGTTGAGATTACAGCAATTTCTATGTTTGACAATATGAAGTTTCTGGTAATTGAAGATGAGCTCCATCTCAACTAAAAGCGCCTTACTTGTACTATACATTTATGAGGCTAAGCCTAATATGATAGTTGGACTATACATTTATGTTTATATATTATTTGTTCAACACGTTTCGAACGTGTGAGCTGGTTATATTGTGATGGGCTTGGAACAGCATGTGGACTGTAGGATCTTTTTATTGGATGATGCCGAAATTAGACCCATGACTTTTTGCATGTGATTGATATCGTATGTTTCAACTAAAAGTCTAAGTTGATATTAGTACGCACAATTATGTTTGTAGATTATATATTGGTCAGTAGTTGTTAGTAACTGGATTGACTAGTTAATAGAACCATAAAGAGTAGTGGCATACAAGTTTTGTCTTGTTAAACAATAAACTCAACTGTATATTTCTATATGTTCTGTGTGTCAATGTACAAGGAGGTATAGAGCTATTTATATTAGACAAGAACTAATCCTAGCCATAGGTTTCAAATACCTAAAACTAAGGCTAAGAGAGATCCTCTCAACTAACAGCCTATTTCTCTAACACTCCCCCTCAAGTTGGAGCATCCAACTTGTTACATATGTATCACATGAACCATAGGACTCCACACCTAGACTCATAAGCCCAAGTCTTGAACCACTCAAACAACCTTCGAACCACGCTGTGCCAAACCAGTCCACAACGCACCTTGTCGCATCAACAATGCTTCTAAGGAGCCAACAAAAGCTAGGCCAATCACCACAGCGCCGCACCTGCCTCTCACTCCCCACACCCTTATCACCGTTGCCTAACACCACAGCGTACTTGCCTCTCACTCCACAAACCCTTAGCGCTGCTAGACCACAGTGCACCTGTCCCTCTCACCATGCACCCTTATCAACGCTGCCTAACACTACAGCGTTTCCCTGGTGCATGTACGTAAACTGATTCACTCTGTATCATTCTTCAGCCGTCGGCCTCCCCCGCGACATATGCCAGGTCCGCCCCACTCCTGGCACCTGTGCTGCCCACTCCTGCAACACCCCTGTTTACGCACACTGAACAAGCTGCACTTGACTCAACTCAGACCCTAGAATTGCTCCCATACCAAGTTAACTTAAAGCGACAAACTATGATAAACAAAATACAAAGCTCAAGACTTATTAATACGAATACGATAAACAAAAGAAAACTACTGCCTAATTATTCCTCAGCTTCGTGGACCTCAGACCACCCAGCTTCATGGACCTCCCCTATCACCTCTCTTGGCTGTCTCTCTTTCTCGGCTGACACCAAACTGGTGAACAAACAGATCCTCGCTGCTGTCATCGGAGGTTATGAACCCAAACCCCTCACTGAACCACTCGACGCAGCCCTCCATCCTCTGCTCACTCTCCTCAGCCATAATGAACAAAACAGACCAACCCGAAAACGCAGCAGTCCACAACGCAGCAGTCCAAAATATGCAGCAGTCCAAAACGCAGTAACCCTTCGCAACACCGGAGTACACAACCACTGCAGACGCGTTGGGTGTTCAGGGATGAGCCCAACCGTACCGGCCGCGACCGGAGAAGACGCCGGAGAACTGCCCACGCATCGGCGCGTGGCGTCGGAACCCTACGATTGCGCCGGCGCGTGGCGGCGTGTGAGGAATCCGGTGGCCGCTCCGCCTCTCCCACCGGCGTCGCCTCCTCTTAACGACCAACACCCACTATCCCGTCACCTCAAGGCTCTGATACCATGTTAAACAATAAACTCAACTGTATATTTCTATATGTTCTGTGTGTCAATGTACAAGGAGGTATAGAGCTATTTATATTAGACAAGAACTAATCCTAGCCATAGGTTTCAAATACCTAAAACTAAGGCTAAGAGAGATCCTCTCAACTAACACCCTATTTCTCTAACCAAATGGAATAGATGTAACTTGGAGGACATGAGGCTGTCAGAGTGTGTAACTATAGAAGTCATTTGACAAAATGACAAAATGTGCCTTCAAGTATGCTGCTAATCTGCTAGTGGGAAACCTGTTTAGCCTATATGCAGCTTAAAAAGGAAAATAGCTTTGTAACAAAAAGAACAGGTTATTATCTTAGGAAAAATGCTTTCTTCCCCTCCTAAATTTCACCTCCAATATTTTCCCTCCTGATGTGGCATTCATTCATTGGGTGTCATGAACCCTACCACTAATTCAAAATAGAAGTTAGTTACCAATTAGATGTTGCCACATCATGAGGGATGAATTGCAGGGAAAAAATATTAGGGGTCTCTAGCATTAGTCATTATCTTATTGGTGACTAGTTACTATAACAGGTTTCTCTGTTGGTGACTAGTTATATTTATGTGTTATGCTTGTGCAAGGAATCCAAAGTCAAATACATTCCTGACCCGATTCTGCATATAACCTTTTATGCCTCTACCAGGTGGTTCAGAAGACTGCTGCAACTTTCGCACCGAGGGCTTCCACTGCTTCAAAAAATCCTGCTGTACCTGGAACTACATTATATACCGTCTTTGAAGTCCAGGGCTACGTTTCAATGTTGCTGGGAGGGGCTCTCTCTTTCAATCTCATATTTCCGTCTAATGAACCAGACATCTGGAGACTGATGGGAATGTGGTCCATCTGGATGTTCAGTAAGTGCCCTAATATTTATAAACAAGCTAGGAATCTTTGCAATCCTTATACCATGGACCATGACATTATGTTCATTTTTAATACATTGAATGTTGATTTTTTGAAGGTTCATTTTTTGTGTACTGAAGGTTCATTATTTGGTATACTACCTAAAAATGAACTTTCAGTACATTGAATCTTTGCTAGTAGTTTATTCTTCCAAAAAGTATATTTAGTAATGGAATAACTGATTTCATCAATTAGGATTTAGAATTCTCCTCTTGTTAAAAATTAGTTAATGGATTTCTTTGGCAGCATGTAATCTTGTTTCCTCATTGGTTACAGAAGAGTGTATCTGTTGATTACTATCCTAAGTTATGAATTTGTGTGATTGTACTAAAGAGGTCAATATTTTCCGTTTTAGCTATTCCATCCCTTCGGGCCCGAGACTGCTCAAAGAATGAGAAAGAAGCACTCAATTATCTCTTTCTTCTTGTCCCACTGCTGAACATTATAGTCCCATTCTTCTGGAAATCCTTCGCTGTTGTTTGGTCAGTGGATATTGTGGCATTTTTTGGAATGTATGCATGGAAGGTACGTCCTTTTCCTAAAATATGCATCTTGATATGATGTTGATACTTGTTTGAAATTTAAAATACATTTTTGCACAGCTTGGATGGCTACAGAAAGAGTAAAGGTCCAGGGAAGAGAAGCAGCTTCTTTGTTTATGTTAAATGATTATTGGTTGGACCTGAAATCAACTTCCAGAGCTCATTTTTGGCCAGGACTGAAGGATCTTGATGAAAGAACGCATCCTCAATCAGAGTAAGCATCTTATTTTGCTATGCACTGCTAGATGGGGCTACAACTTGCGAGTTGCTGAGTTGAATATATATGATTTCAGGTCTGGTCATTCAGGGATGCATGGATGCTATGTACTTGTGTTTACTGTATTCGTGTCTTTTCTATAAAGTACATATACGCTTTTCCTGTATAGACGGTTTAATTTGAAATCTCTCATGCTAGCCAACTTTTACAAAGTGTTTAGTATACGGTTTAAAATCTAGCTAGATGACAGAACTAAAATTTATTGTTTCCCTTTTTTGATATTAATGTTTGTTTCTAGATATGTCGTGGTGCCTTTGAATGATCCTAGCAAAGAACTAAGCAGCCGACTTAAGAGGGTTTGAACCAAAATTTTGATCTACTATCTAAGGACAATATCCCAAGTGGGTCGTGGTGGGAGGAACCCTAATCCTCCTTCCTATACACCGTTGTCTGCAATTTAATCATCTCCTTTGTTCAGTCGTGTGTTCTGACCTATTATAGATTGTTTTTTTTTTTTTTTTTTTTTTTTTTTTTTTTTTTTTTTTAAATTAGGCAGATCTGTAATTCATATATGCAAGTCCACATCCCTCGAAGATAATATGAACATTTCAGTACTAAGGTTCCTCATTTTCTGATGTTGCATTGCTGCTGCTCCTTGAATATGAACCGAAGCTCCAACATGTGGGCTTTATATTGGTTTTCTGCCTTTTAAATGTTACGAACACTTGCCAAGCATCTTGTGCTCAGATGGCATGTAGTGACCTCTCCCATGTGGGAGGTCATGAGATCGAGTATATTTGAATAGATACTACAATGTAATAGAGTTAGTAGCATTCAAAAAAAATGTTATGAACACTTCTATCATTTGATTCTATTTTGCCATTACATCTTAGCATTGGTGCTGTGACCTAAACTTGAATCAAGACTGCTAGTCCTCTCCGCTGTGGTCTGAGTAAGCGGAATCACTCCCATATTTTGAATCACTGTCTGAGCTGTCTCTATTTTTATGATCCGGTGGGGTTGGATCTGGAAGTGATTCAGGTACTGTTTCGTCTTGAGGAGCCACTTGTCTGAAACTGAGAGCGGCTAAAACATCACTAATCAAATGACGAACCGGTGGTTCTTCTTGGAGACACATGGCCACTACTCCAACTGCTTGATTCAAACTTGTCACCGGGAATGCTTTGTTCAGAAGTGGATTTGCCAATTCTGGGAACCTCTTTGGTTCCCTGAAAAAGGGTTGTGCCTAGTTGAACAACACATAACTTCAAGTCAGAAAATGCAGTCCAACTCTGAAATTTTGAATGAAGAAGATTTTTTTTTTCCTTTCTTTTTTGCAGACTTACCCAATCAACTAGATTTTGCTCTTCTGCAGGTCTTTCAGTGTCCACAGCTCGACGGCCTGTTATGAGCTCAAGCAGAACGACTCCAAAGATGTACACATCCGATTTCAAGGTAAGTTCCCCACTTCTTTCATACTCTGGTGCTGAATAACCGTAGGTTCCAATAACTCTCGGTGGCATAGTTGTTGCTGTATTTCCTCCCCCACCCGTGAGCTTGGCAAGACCATAGTCAAATAGTTTAGGATTAAAATCTTCATCCAATTAGATGTTTGTGGATTTCAAATCACGATAGATCATAGGAGGGTTTGTGAGCATCTAGCCAGCCATTAATGTGCAATCCAATTAATGGAGCACATGCTTCAATTGGGTTGGCTATTTCATGTAGATATTCAAGCCCTTGAGCAACACCGGAAGCTATTTTCATTCTGGTCACCCAATCTAATGGCTTTTTGTCATCTTCAAGGTCTGCATTTGTTAATGAAACAAGTGTATTAAGTACTCAATCAGTTAATATATAGGTAGTGAAAAAAAAAAACTCCGTAGTACTCATTACCCCACAGGCAAGTATTCATACACCAAAAGTCTCTTTTCTCCATCAGCACAATACCCGATTAGATTTACCAGATTGGGGTGGTTAAGGAGAGTTAGCATTAGAACTTGGACAGAGAACTCCTTGCTCCCTTGTGTACCCGTCCTGCTTCAGGTGCTGCTCCTTTTGGTGTGCCTGTGGCAAGTGGCAACCACATGTCCAAGAATAGTTAGATACCAACTCAGGCGGTTCACTTGGTAACCAAGATTTCAAGTTTGAATCTCAACTTGAGTGGCCGGCCTATTGATCTTCTTGGTTTGAATCGGTCAATTATGAATAATCTAGACTGGTTGGTTCTTTGCTGGCTAAAGTTACAAAGCAGGGTTTGTACACCATTAAGTAATTGCTACAAATTTCCCTTGTCACAAAAAAAAAATAATAAATAAATAAAAAATCTATGTTTTGTCCAAGTAAGCTTTTAGACTTTTAAATAATCTTTAAAAGTCCATTGGTATTCTAAAAACTATAAATTTCTATAGTCTATTTCATATTAACACAACTTTTCCTTTCAAATATAAATAGTTGAAATCTATTCATTAACCCTAAGATTTTTAAACTTTCTTTCTATCAATTCTTAATATTTTTTCTCCGTATCTAGACTATTTATTGTTTTTTTCTCTTTATTTAAACTCTACAAACTTTATACCTAAATTCAACAGATTATTTTATTTTTGCCTTGGGAAGTTTGTAGATGAATTTGGCCTTCTAGTTGATTATCACACATTTTGATCATAGATTGAGAAGAGCAAAAACCTAATTTGAAGAATAACATGTGCAGACCGTTGAAAGGGACTCGCGGATTCATTAAATTGAAGTTGAAAACCTGAATTACCCATTTTATTCTTCATTTTAACACTTACTTCACGCCCAAGCTAACGGATGATCATTTAATTTTGACTTAAAATTCAATAGTCAGATGACTACTTTGAGTGTAATTAAAAATCAATGAACCAATTTAAAAAAAGAACATAGTCCATGCATGATATAAATTGGCCCCACTAGTCCATGGAAAATTAGATAAAAGAGACAAAGAAACAGAGCAGAGATCATTATATTGACGATTGTCAGTTCCTATCAATTCATCAATGCGTAAGCGTAAAGAAATACGGAACCAAAATGCATGTAAGATCAGGCAAGCAAATGTCTATCTAAAGCAAGTCCAAATCTAAGTACGTATTCCTATCTAATTCTTGCATACCATCCATCATTTCCACACATAATCTGATGCATATATAATATAATGCCATGCATCTCAATACAATACAATATAATGTTGTGAAATCACCTATAAACAAAGATGTGAATATACCGTTGGGATACAGGAACTGGCCGTGATGATGAGTCCGATCCTGCTCGCATCTTTCCGATCATTCCTTTGAGTATTGATCTTTCCTGCAATATAATATAATGCAGCCAACTTTCATATTGAAGGTCACCTACAGTTTACCTGGCTGGCAAACTTGCAAGTTAATCGTGTAAACGGATTAACACAATAATATTAACAGGTTAAATAGATTCTTGTTTAATAAGTTAAATAGGGTTTTAATAGGTTTAACGGGTTCACTTATTATAAAAAGGTCAACTTCTAATGACCGAAACACTAACCTGTTATTTTATCATTAATAATTGTAGGTTCTACCTAAACTCTATAATTTTATTATATAGATATATAGATAATAGTGTCAAATTATATTATTACCCCTCTAATTTATATTACTCCTTATTGCGTAATAGCTAAATATGGAGATTATAGTCATTTTCATAGGTCTTTTTAACAATAAATAGATTTAATTATTTTTTTCCTAAACCTAATAGGATATATGATAGAGGCCAGGTAAGGAAATACTATAAATATCCACTCACGCACTCCACCGCTATTCTTTCTAATATAGTTCCCGCCAGACTAATAAGGTAACCCTCCGAATCTACATTTCGAAGTTAGTAATGGAGATTCCATTGGGTTCGCGCTTCCAACCTTTTGATTACGACGTGCTCAAGTTTCTCTTCAATTTCGTTACGGGGAGGAGTAGTGTGGATGATGAAGCGCTGATTCATCAAGAAGATGTGTTCGGTGAGAAGGAGCCATGGGAGTTAATTCCGTCGGGGAAAAAAATGGCATATTTTCTCACTAGGTTGAAGAAGATGGCCAAGTCCATGAAGGGATCTAGGGTTCAGCGCACGGTGGGGAAGAAGGTGAAGGGGAAAAAGCCCGGAAATTGGCATGGCCATGACACCGGTAAAGTGGTTGCGGACGAGAACGGGAGGTTTTTGATGGGGTATAAACGGAGCTTCGTCTACAAGAACAAGAGTGAACCGGAACAAGAGGGTAAGTGGCTGCTGAAAGAGTTCTACCTGTCGGAGACGATGATCAGGAGAGTTAGGGCCGAATTTCCTATTGTGGAAGAGAGAGAAGATTTCGTGCTGTGTCGCATAGAGCGAAAGAAAAAAGATGATGATGACGATGATGATAATGATGAAGAAGATGATGAAATAACGTTGGAACAAGGCGGCACCAACAACAACGATTCCCAGGCTGTTGTTTCCGTTACCGTTCCGGTTCCCGTTGAAACACCGATATTGCAGATCACAGATGGAAAGGATGATGATGATATGGATTCATACCAGGGCCATATTTTAAGTTTTTGTGGCCCTGTTCTGATAAATAAATGTGGCCCTACCAAAATCACAATTTTTAAAACCGATACATGCAAGTTTTGAACATTTGACTTCCAAGTTAAAATACAATAAATACATGTTCTTACCATTTCTTCATGAAACCTTTTAAATTTAATTGAAAACTTTTAATTTTTATTTCTAAACTATCTAGGTAAAAATTAAATATTAGACCTCTAAAATTTGGGGGCCCTCTAAAATTGGGGGCCCTGTGCGGTAGCCCAGCTTGCACAGCCCAAAATCCGGCCCTGATTCATACTTTGCTGGTGTTCCAGTGGATACATTATTGGCACCGGCGGATGATATGAATTCATACGACATTAATGTTGGTGTTCCGGTGGAGACAATCGCAGAGAGAAACGATGATATCGATTCGTTCTTTGTTGGTGTTCCAGTGGATACATTATTGGCACCGGCGGATAACATGAATCCAGAGGACATTAATGTTGGTGTTCCGATGGAGACAGCGATCGCAGAGGGTATCGATGATGATGATATGGATTCATTCTTTGTTGGTGTTCCGGTGGAGACAGCGATCGCAGAGGGTGTTCCAATGGAGACATTATTGGCAGCACCGGCCGGGGATACGGATGGTGGCTCCTACATCAGTTCTGGTGTTCCGGTACCGACTTCGCCGGAACTGGGTTTGGAGTTTATGGATTTTAATGAAATATGGAATA